GTTCATTTTGGCCCTGAACCCTTCTTAGTTCTGTGAGTGTTTAGAGAATTTAAGTCTTGAATAATTCTCATTGAAGCGGCCACACTTCACACTCACATAGGTGACCTCCTATTAAGAGTATTCTACCATACTCCACTTGACTTAATCAAGATATAGAAATCATTAAAAGATTATCTTAACCTCTTGCAACTCTGCAGAAAACACTTTAATATCATAGGAATGAGTTAGGAAATTATTTTCCTGAGTGCTTCATGGAATCCTCATAACTTAGTTGTCCTTTTGAACCAAGATCTTGGGATCTCCAGTCAACAAGGTAGGGTTATCATTACAAGGACTCTAACATAGTAGGCTTTACCTCATTCCTTTCGATATGCAGTATTATTGATCTCTTTTAGTAAATCTCTTTAAAGGTACCACGAGTTTACACCATTGAGATCAATTGTTTAATGGTATTATGTCTATGACTTATACGTCTAGACCTACCATTACATGTGACTTACTATCTTATCAATTATTGCTAGCAAACGATCGATTTCATTTAATAGATACAAATTGTCACTACCAAGAAATCATTTCATGAAGCTACATGTTTCTTATTAGCATTATCAATTTCCAAATAACACTGTTAGAGGATTTCTATCTAATTATTACACTAGTCAACCATGTTTACTAGTGGATTTCAGAGTCATAGGTATTCAATATCATCATTGAAACATTACAGTACATTCGAACTTTATGAATATTCATCAAATGTTTCAATTGTTCTTGCATGTCCAAACAAACGCCATAATCGACTTTACAACCTATCTCATCCACTTTGGACTTAGTATATATCATCCTTATAATTAGTATAAGGGTTTTCCATCTTTCCACCTTCATAGATATAAGATAGAAGCAAAACGTAACTGTTAAACTGAGTTACCCCCACAATTCCTCAATTAGGAATACATATGTAATCTAGTAATATTGCATTCACAAGTTTTGAACTTTCCATTTCAAGTTCACAAGCATTAAATTTAACCCCCCACATTCTTGGGTTATGCTTAAACTTAGAGTTCATTAACACTTTTATAGTTCTATTCATTTATCTTTTAGATAATATCCGTATCGAGTGCTTCGTGAAAGTCTATGTACTTTCAAAGTAGTAGTCATCAACTTGCATATAACGTACTTCAATCTAATTAATTTTGATCATCCAAATTAAATGAAAGCCATCATATAGACCAGCAATACTTTCCAAGCATAAACCAATTTTAATTGGTCTCATGATTGAAGTCAATTCCACAATAAAGAGGGCTAAACATTGCAACTTCTTCAAACATATTTCACATGATAGTTTTATTTCAACCATTGGTTGAAAAGTTGTGTTTTCAAAAGACACAATCCTACAAGAGGACACACCTCCTGAATGTTTCATTTCAACCATCGGTTGAAAAGTTGTGTTCTCAAAAGACACAATCCTACAAGAGGACACACCTCTTGAATTAATCTCTATAAAGAGGCACGCCCATTGAAAATTAATCATACCAAAAGTCATGATTCTCCATATGAAAAAACACATCTTTCCATGCAAAATTTTCTATGATTTCAAATAATTAAGTGGCTTAATTCTCATTACTAAATAATGATATTCACTTAAATCATCTCACTTAATTTTATGAAATTAATTGAGGCTATCATCATAGTCAAAGTTAGTATAATTTTAATAAGATTTGAAATTTTAACCAACTAATTTACCATACCATTATCATATTTCAATCAAAGGAATCGTTAGGAAAGTTCATATACTTTCATCAAATAATTGGCATCCTTATATGTTAGGAATAATTCCTTATTTCCATCCATTCATTATTGGACTCGAGTTGTTTTTAACAATATCCAATTCATCATGACCAATGTGAAGGAATAACAACTTATATTCCAAATATTTATACATCCATTGTATAAGTTTATTCCATTTATAGGAATGTTTACTTCCATATCATAAGAGATATTGCAATCTCACATAGAAGAAAATTGTCACTCACAAGTTCCCAAGATGGACATTATACAGAAACATCATATTTTTCGAGGCTAGCAGAAAAATTTCACAAACTAGAATGTTCAAAGTATGGCAGAATGTCAAGCGTAAATCCATTGGTTCAAATTATAGCAACATATGTATTTAATTACAGTCACACATGCCATCTATCTTTCCAAATATTTTCATGAAATATATTACCAGATGTATGCAGAAATCTGCACATGCTTAAGGAAAAATGCATATGCAAAGATGAAGGAAACTCTATAATTACTGTTATCTTCAAACGTCTCCATTCGTATTTTCACATAATATTGGGTTCCCATGCAAGCATCGGTTCAGATTTTTATTTTCGTTTTATGATACAAATATAGCAAAATTTCAAATTGCAAATTTTTAATAGAACCCAATCTGTTCCCTTAAGTGAGTAGTATGGTTGACAAATTCGAAACAGAATATACAATGCACAAAGAACACAAAATTCATCTTAAAATTGTTGGGGAATACACCGATTATGTGCATATTATATTCACAAAAAATATACCGTTTATGTTCACGAAATCGAAACAAGGTTTCGACTTACCGAAATGGAGTTTGAGAAACTAACCAATGATTATCGAATATGACCATTTCCATTCTTGAATTAAAATATGCGATTTTTCATATGGAACATTGCATAAACCATATAAATAAAATTAATCATTTTCTAAAATCAAGTAGAAATGAAATCAGAAAAAATTAGATGTAAGTGATGCGATTGGCCGATGCGAGTATAACTCTTTCCTTAAGATGAATTTGCCTCGCATCGGTGCTAACAGTTTTTCCACAATCATCTTTCAAGATACAACGATCACGTCAAGCCATAGGAGTACTCCAAATGACTTCGATCAGCGAACTCGAACAGAATTCCCTCTCTACCAAGGAAATGCATGAAAATACTATGGAATTAGAAATGAGAGAATTGCAAGAGGAGAATGAATGCTTAATGCAATTGGTGTACCCAAAACCATGTCCATAGGATTCTATTTATAGATGTAGAAAGGGTGAAAATGAAGTAGTGTGGACCAAAACATGCATCCTTTCAAAAAATTGCAACACTTGGCCAAAACCTGCATCCTTTCGAAAAGTTGCAACACTTCATTTCTTCCAACTTTCGTCCGCAATTTCTCATTCATCCGGAATTGGTTTCAAGATTTCAAATATACCACGATGATTTACTCGACGAGTAGAATAAGTTGATCTATTTAATTTTGTAATTTGACCATTGGATCAAGTCCGAATATTTGGTCTAAGTTGACATGTAGTCACACCTTTTCATTTTCCACTTTTACACACCTTTTAATTTTCCAATTTTTAGTTAATTATTTGAACCAATTCCTATAAGCACTGTACAAGGTCAAATATTGCCATTGAAGATAAGAGTTGAGAGATCAGTGTTCGCGAAATTGTTTCTTTCGATTTTAAACCACCGCAAGTGTATGGTTCGTTAACAAGTAATAAAGTGGATTCAATGAGTCCGAATATCATCCCACAGAGATTGATTAGTTCAAATTTTATCTAACGTAGCGTTAATCGAAACTGAATTGTCAAAGTGGATATGGATCTAATTAAAAACTTTAATTTCAAAAAGAAACCCTAATTACGCGAATTTAATGAGTAAATTGAAATTAAAACTCAAAACAATATTTTAACACTCTAGAAATAAACTAAAAGTCGAGAATGCACGTTGTTATAATCAATAGAAATTAAATAGGCTAGGATTACGAATTCCCATGCAATTATCATTTTAAACCCTAGTTTCACAATATGACAACACACTTCAATTGTGACGAATCAATGTTCCTAAGTCTATTCAATACTCTCTCTTGAGATGTATCAAACCTATTTCGACATACCACCGGTCTATATTTCTATGACAAGAGCATATGTAAAAATTCATGCGATTTTATGAACACTTAAAGATTCACGTAGGGTATAGCGGTATATTTCTATCCACTATCGGACCCTACGATGATTTATATTATGTCAAATCTATTCCAATTCTCTCGAATGCAAGAAAAAATCATTTAAATTCACACAATTACAAGCCCTTAATTGCAAAAACATTAATTGCATATAAATCATTCAAAATAATAAAAATTGTGTCTTAACATCAAATTGCAAAACGAGGATATTAGATTTCAAATCACATGGTTCATCAATCTCCAAGCATAATAAAAATCTAGCCTAGCATGATTAAAATAACAAAATGCATCATGTTTTGAATAAAGGATATCACCGGGTTATGAAATCTTGAAGTTCTTCGTGCCAATCCTTGTTCTTGTGATCAAATCCTCTCCAAGAAGTGTTTTTCGGCCTCCAATTGCGTTCCCATCGTCTTTGGAATGTTTTTGATATTTATATCCTGTGGAAAATTAGGTTACCAAAGGAGTTCAAATCGTATAAGGAAAGAAAAAAATCGCACCGGACAAATAACCATGCGACCGCATGGTTTTAATCCGTACGGCCGCATGGTTATTCCATATTTCCAATTGAATTCCCTGCATCCCTTCGTGCGGCCGCACGAGAGTTCTACCATCCGACCACATTGTAGAATTCAATTTTCATTTTCTGCAAATTGGTCCCTCTAGTTGAATCTTCCACTTCTTTGTATCTTTTCTTCATTCTTTACATTTCATCATCCCAAAATGTCATCAATTTGTATTTGGCAAACTCAATTTCTTGATTTTTTTTCATCGGGTCAACTTTTGGGTACTTGCACCTTGGTCCTTGAACTTTCACTTTGTGTCATTTTAGTCATTTTCGCGTCTTTTTTCATGTATTTCACCATATTCATCAGTGTTATCTACAATTCCCAAAAGTAATAAAATTAGGTCACAATTCAATCATTTTATTCGTAATTAAGTCATGTTTGTGATCTGAATAAGTGTTTAAAAACACACTAATCAATCAGCGTGATAACAAGAAATGTAAGTGAAGAAAGATGACACTTGCCTGTCCCTCATGACTATTGATATTCTCCAATCGCCATTTGATATCATTTGGCTGTCGGTCTTTCTTTCTCCAGTTACACCTCACATCAAGTTGTCCTCCTGTTGGCACAAAGGAAGATTAGAGAAATCTACTATACTTCACAAGTTGGATAGCGCGAATTCTTGATAAGAACCGACCCCATTAATGCAAGCCAGACAAACGATGTCATAATGGACATTTTCTTCTATCTTTCTTCTTCTTCTTAAATGCATGCTGCAGTAAATGCTTTGCCACTGTCAGTTTCTATTTTTTTTCTTCAATCATCAGCCTACCTCCATTATTTAGTCCACTTCTTTTAATCTCATAAAAAATTTCACCTCACAGCATCATTTTATACTTCATCTATCCCAACGGTTTGTCTCTATTATCCAAGCAGCAAATATATCTGGATCTCGTCTCGTTGTCGTTTTGGTCTGTTCTCTTTTTCTACTGAAAACCCAACATTCTTCTGGTGACTAGCTTAAGGTTGTTTCTCTGGCTTCTTTAATTGTTTTTTGACCAGTTTAATGCTCGCATTCAGCGATTTACTTGAACAAAATCCAATTGCATTAAATTCCCCATTTGAATTTTTCTTTGATTTCTGGAATTTTTGCTCGTATTTAGACATTTAATGCTGTTTGAACGGTGTTTGTGCACTAAGAGTAGTAATGAAGCAAGTGCTTTATTGTCTTTTTAATTGAGTTTTACCAACTTATGTAGTCTTTCAGAAATTTGTCAATTAGCTGTTTCTGATCGATGGGTCTGTGTTTGTTTCTCAGTAGCCCATTGAAGTTGCAACCTTTGTACGGTTTTGTTTGCAAACTTTTGAAATTGATGTTCTCTAGTTGGGATTTGCAAATGAGTTGTTCAAATGTAGTTGTTATGGTGGTTCTTTCGTGGATTTTCTTTGCTTCAAGTACTCATCAGTTAAGAAGCTATGAGACGCAAATTCTTCTCCAGCTGAGGAAGCACTTGGAGTACCCAATGCGATTGGCTGATTTGGAAAATTACAATGGTGATTTCTGTAATTTGTCCTCCCCTCCACAAATTAGCATCAAATGCGAGAACAACTCTATTATCGAGCTCAGGATTATGGGAGATAAGCCTGTCAACGTCAGTGAATTCATTGGATTTGCAATTCCCAATCAAACCTTATCTGGGGGTTTCTCTATTGATTCCTTTGTTACGACATTGACAAGGTTAACTAGCTTAAGGGTTCTTAGCTTAGTCTCTCTGGGAATTTGGGGAACACTTCCAGACAAAATTCATCGGTTATATTCTCTTGAAGCTTTAGATATGAGTTCGAGTTTTATATTTGGTTCGATTCCATCGGAGATGTCTAGATTGGTGAAGCTTCAGACTTTTAAATTGGATGGGAATTTTTTCAATGATACAATCCCCGAATGGCTTAATTCTCTAACAAATCTCACTGTTTTAAGCTTAAAGAACAACAGGTTCAAGGGTCAGATTCCTTCTACAGTTCCCAGAATAACAACACTGACTGAAGTTGTTTTGTCACACAATTTGCTTTCTGGGAAATTGCCTGATTTGAGTAGCTTGTCTAATTTACGACTGTTGGATCTGAGAGAGAACCATTTAGATTCACAATTGTCTCCTCTGCCAAAAGGACTGACTAATATTTTTCTCAGCAACAATTCATTTTCTGGTAGTATCCCGGACCAACTTGGCAAATTGAATGAACTTCAGCGTCTTGATTTATCAAACAATCATCTGAGTGGGATGCCGCCTACGGAGTTGTTCTCTATGCCCAATATTAATTATTTGAATTTATCATCCAACATGCTTAGTGGTTCACTTCCACAGCATCTCAAGTGTGGGGATGCTCTCAGTCTTGTCGATATTTCTGATAACAGATTGATAGGCGCGCTTCCAACTTGCCTGGACATTGATTCAGATAAGAGAGTTGTGAAGACTAGCGGGAATTGCTTGTCGTTTGATACCGGAAGTCAGCATCCTGAGTCATATTGCAAAGACACTGGAAAAGATAAAGGACTGTCTTCTGGAAAGAAAATAGCCCTATTTGCTGCTGTCATTGGGGGAATTGTTGCTATTGTTGTACTCTCGGTTTCTGGGCTTCTCTTTTTCTGTAAAAGACACAAAACAGAGAGGACAGTGGTTCAGCATTTTACACCAAAGATTTTGCAAGATGATGCACCACTAGGGATTTCCGCTGAACTCCTTGCAAATGCCAGTAAGTTCTGTTAAAAATTAGTTAAGATCTCTGCATATTTAAGCATTTCCTTGAGAGAATCTAATCATTGATCCTCTCAAGGAAATAGTTTTTCTTTAAAATTCATTTACCCATTTTATTTCTTTAGGGATCATTTCTAAAGCAGTGAAACTCGGTACACAAAGTGCTCCAGCATATAGGGTGTTTTCCATTGAAGAACTGGGAGAAGCCACTGACAATTTTGATCCGTTAGCTTACCTGGGTGAGAGCCCTCTAGGAAAGGTACTCCTAGAAATGCTATTTTACTTTCTCAACCGCCCTTTCTTATTAACGAGTATTTGGAAAATATATTATTGACTGATGCACTCAGTCTTCATAGCATGATATTTGTGTTTTAACATTTATTGAATGAGAAGCGTAGAATACTAGTTTTCCTGTACAGAGAGTTATGAGAGCCCTGCAACCTCAAAGATAATCCATGTAGAAATGAATGACAGTTGTTGTTTAAGGATATGCTTAAACAATGAAATTGGCAAGTGGGAATGACGTCTTGGTGAAAGTTGTAATGTTACGTAACATGAAGAATCAATGATAGGCTATATATATTGATACAGCACGTAGTTAGAGTAAATTTATCAATGCATTTTTAGGAATTTTCTCAAAATAAAACGCTTATCTGTGGTGATTTTATGCGTTGGGTTACATTTGATTTCCAAAACCATGAACTCAAGTCTTACTATTATAGAAATTTCTGGCAAAGTGGCAATTGCTGCCCGAATCAGATAGACAACTCTCATATAAAACAAGGCGTTTACATCAGAGGTTTAATAATTTCACTTTTTAAATTTATTTTTAACTCCATGTGACTATTATTAAATTAAGAACAACCTTACTTAACATTTCGTTCTCATTATTTTCAGGTTTATAAAGGAAGATTAGCGAATGGCACCAATGTTGCTATAAGATCTTTGGCTTTATGCAGAAAATATTCTATTCAGAACCTCAAACAACACTTGGATTTGCTCTCAAAGCTTCGCCACCCTCATCTTGTAGGCCTTATAGGTCATTGCATTGATGGTGGAAGGCAGGACGATTCATCTGTCCATGGATTGCTGCTCGTGTACGAATTTGTCCCTAATGGAAACTTCTGTGCTTACCTTTCAGGTAGTAGAACTACTGCATTGGGTTATCCTTAATGTTTATCTAGAACTTGAAGTCACTGAGTACGACTTTATGTCTATATTTCTAGACATGTCTTTTTAAGAACCTTCTACCATTCATTTTTGATTATTTGAAAATCCTTTAAGTTGTCCTGCTCATTTTTTGTGAATGCATATTCCATATATTGGACTTCATTGAGCTTGAATTCAATTAATGTACCTGCAGACACTAGTCCTGAGAAAGCTCTGAAGTGGTCGGATAGATTAGGATTGCTGATAGGTGTTTCCAAGGCTGTGCATTTTCTACATACTGGGGTGATTCCTCCGTGTTACAATAACCGCCTGAAGACGAATAATATACTGCTGGATGAGCATCGGATTGCAAAGCTTAGTGACTACGGGATATCCATAATCACAGATGAAACTGAAAAGGCTGAAGTATGTTTCCTTGATATTTAGACCATATTAGTGGTTGCAAGGGCCATGCCTAACACATATAATGTCTTTTTTGTAGGCTAAGGGGGATGTCTCCAAATCATGGTAAGGAAATTCCCACTTGAAATGATATTCTCAGTGGTTGCTCTAAACGGTTTATTGGTTTTTTTTTTTGGTTTTTGAAAAATGCTAATATTTTGAGACTATTGAACTCTGTCGCTGACAATTCATACTAAGGCCTGCAAATTAACAAAGGAAGTTTTTCCTAGGTTCCTGATCCACAAAATGAAGTTCAGAATCTCAGATGTTGTTTAATCTTCTATGCTTTAACCATTCTCTATTTTTTAAAATTTAACAACAGTTTGGTGATATAAAAAATTATCCAGCATCCATATTTTTATACTTCTCTGTCTCTATAGTAGTGTTTCTTGTCACCCAACTTCTATTTTTTGTGCTTCTACCTCCAAGATTGCAGTGCAGCTAGGGATGTCTGTTTGGACACCAAGATTGTAGTTCTACTTATAGTTGATATATAAAACTGTTGTTACAGGCGTTCGACAAAGTTAGAGGATGATGTTTACAACTTTGGGTTCATATTGCTCGAGTCAATTGTGGGTCCTATTGCAAGTGGAAAAAGAGAAGCATTTTTGCTAAATGAAATGGTATGATATGTCATTTTTTAATACGATTCCAATTTCCTTTGGTAGCCTTAACATGCTCGAAGTTCCAAGTACTATACTAAAAATCAAAGATTATCTACAACTAATCACGTGCCATCATCTTAAATTTTGACTTTTGTACCTTGGTTTCAAAATACAGACATCCTTTGGAAGTCAAGACGATATGCGCAAAATTGTGGATCCAATTGTGTTATCCACTAGTTCACAAGAGTCATTGTCAATTGTGGTGTCCTTGACCAATAAATGTATTTTATCTGAATCTTCAAGCCGGCCCTCATTTGAGGATGTCCTCTGGAATCTGCAATATGCAGCGCAAGTCCAGGCTACTGTCGATTTAGATCAGAAATCAGATACTACCTCACAGTCAGAACTTCAATTGAGATAACTCTCCCGTCATAATGGCATCCGCGTACTTACTGTGGAGTCTTATTGCAGTGTTTTGATGATGAAGCATCTTTGTGGTGGTTTTGTCAGCATGAAATTGGCCATGTTTCAACTAGCTATTCTCATTTTATTCATAATTGAATAGATTGTATATGTTGTTTTGTTTTCTGATTTACCTTAGGAAATATGCGATATTTCATATTACAGCCTCTCAAATATCATCTCCAAACAAACTTGTAATAGGAAGTTTTTTCCATTCATATTCTTGTTCCTATCAAGGAACTACTTTCATTGTAATGCTGGAATTTGATGATTTATCCTTAATGGGCTCCACAAGATGGGATTAATCCTCAAGTTTTTATTTGAATATAGGCTTGCATGGATTATGGGTCATTATAGAGTTCCCAGTAGTGGGATATGCTTACTAAAGACAGGAAGAGAGCACTTGGGTTACCTCAAGAGCTACTAGGAGAGGGGAGGGCTGACCTATGATAGATAAAGCCAGCAAACCTTTTATGCGAAAGTCATGTTCTCAGCTTCTCGCCTCACGGATTCAAAAAGCACAACCAAAACTCGAGAAGATCACAATAATGAGTTTTCCAACATTCTCTAGTCTCTTCGCAATCCTAATTGCAACAGCTAGGGGAGGGCTGACCTATGATAGATAGGCATTCCTAAAAGGAAAATGTGCATGTGTTCGTCAAGTGTCATGTCGCGTCGTATTTCGATATTGTTGAACACTCAAAAACATGGACTCAATAAACCACGTGTTTTTGTTCTTGTCCATGACACTTGCAAGATACTCCTCGATTACACATGGCTTATGTGCGTAGGGTTTTATTCTAACTTCACTATTGTTCCTTCATTAGGTGCCAATTTGCCAACAGCTTTGCTATTTAGTCTAATGCTCTAAGCCTGCCTAACAGAAGAATTGTTGGGGGCAATAAGGAGTCTGTTTGGTGTCAATTGTTTCATGCACTTGTGATCGTCCCTCCAGTACCAATTCCAGAAACAAAAGCATCAATTTTTCCGTTCGACCCTTTCTAGATCTCTAGTCCAGTGGTTTCATAATGTATCTTCGGGTTGGCAGGATTTTCAAACTGCTGAAGAATGTAGGAGTTAGGTGTCTTGTCTCGTATCTCTTCAGCTTTTTGAACAACACCTTTCATTCCCTTTGCGGGTTGTTGTTTGTTGTGAGATGACCTTACAACTTACCAATTACGAAAATGAAAATTAGGGATGGAGAATTGTCAAATCTTACCTAAAAAATATCCAAAATGTCTGAGAAAGCAGTAAATCTTGGGAGTAAAGTATAAGTATAGTTTTCATATTTTCACTTGAGCTGGACATCTCAACTTATTATAAGCCAAATAGTTTTGCTGAAGCAACAACAACAAAAACAAGAATAATAATAATAATAATAATAATAATAATAATAATAATAATTGTATATTCATTCATAACATCTTTAATTAACATTATTAAGAAATCACAATATGAAACTAAATTGTAAGAATTCTGGAGCAAAACAAACGGAAAAATAACTAATACTTTCAATTTTATTTTCGATTATTTTGTCATCATTTTCGTACTATAAAGTCTTCTATTTTTTTTACACCCTTTCGACATTCTTGCTTGTATGAGTTATTAACCATCAGTTACGAAACGCACCGTTTCAGCTTTCTCGTTCCCTTCGCACATTCCTCTAATACTTCTCCACTGCTTTCCCTCTGTGTAAGATCTCTCCGCTCCACATTCTTCGCCTTTTTCTTTTATTCCATTTATCTTCAACTTATCAAGTATTTTCGAATCATGTGTTTCTGTAAGTAGAATAACTGACTTCATTTGATGCTGCATTGTTGACCAGCTGTTTGGTATGTGATAATTTGAGCTATTAGTGGTTTAACTTTTAAGTATTGTTTATCTGATTGTGCTGATAATAGCTGATTGAGCTAGTTTTTGTACTGATCAGAAGCTAGATGCTACTTTTTTCTTCTCTTCTTGTTTCAATTATTAAGTGTTGATATTTCATGTTTTATTATTAACCGTTTCAAAGAGTGAAGGGGTTGATTTCAATTTTTCTCATTCTCGTGTTGGCGTTTTGTTTTTCTGTATGATTTTATGGACTTTCAGTAAGTCTTTAAATAATATGGTGTAGTTGTATTCCAGCTATGCGGTAACGCGTTTGATAGTGAGGACTTCATGGTACTAGAAAAGGGTAGCGCTATTTCCATCCATACTTTTTATAAGTACATCCCCTCTAAGTTCATCCCTATTAAAATTTTAAAAAAAGACTATTTGCATCCACGATATATTACAATCTTATCTTGACTAAATTCATTCATTTGAATAACATATATCCACACTTAAGAAATACTATTTGCATCCACGTTAATAATGTAACTCTTTTGCATTTGCAGATTGCCCATTTTTCTATTTTTAATGCAAAATCCCATCACTTCATGCTATGTGACATAGCCTAAGTCTATAAGAAAGCGTCACATTATTTCTAACAATTTCATCTGATACATTTGAAGAAAACTGAAATGACAAAAACACAGGATGCGACAAACATTAGGGGGGTCGAAAAGCCAGCAAACCTTTTATGCGAAAGTCATGTTCTCAGCTTCTCGCCTCACGGATTCAAAAAGCACAACCAAAACTCGAGAAGATCACAATAATGAGTTTTCCAACATTCTCTAGTCTCTTCGCAATCCTAATTGCAACAGCTACTGCAGTATCAGATGATTTTCCCACTAGCAACCAACCCTTCTTTCAATGTTAGAAGCTTTGTAGTTTCTATGGCTTCATCGGTTGAAATTTGAATTACTTCATTAATAAGATCAACCTTCACAACCCCAGGAATAAAACCAGCACCAATTCCTTGAATCTTATAAGGACCAGGTTTTCCTCCAGAGAGAACATGACTTTCAACTGGTTCCACACCAAACAACTTTATACCAGGGTTCTGCTCTTTAAGGAACTTTCATGCACTTGTGATCGTCCCTCCAGTACCAATTCCAGAAACAAAAGCATCAATTTTTCCGTTCGACCCTTTCTAGATCTCTGGTCCAGTGGTTTCATAATGTATCTTCGGGTTGGCAGGATTTTCAAACTGTTGAAGAATGTAGGAGTTAGGTGTCTTGTCTCGTATCTCTTCAGCTTTTTGAACAACACCTTTCATTCCCTTTGCGGGTCAGTGAGCACCACTTCAGCACCAAAACCAATGAGAATTGAAGGCATTGTAATGATAAGCCTGTATCCCTTTGCTGCTGCCATGAATGCCAAGCCTATGCTAGTGTTACCACTTGTAGGTTCAATATGGACACTCTCCCCAGGTTTGATAAGGCCTTTTGCCTCGGCATCTGAAATCATGCTATAACCAATCCTATCCTTAACACTAGAGAAAGGCTCCATAGATTCCAGCTTGGCCGCAACACGCGCGACGCAACCATCAACAATATTATTAAGGTATACCAATGGGGTTTTACCAATCAATTCGGTCACATCCTTAGCAATTCCAACGTTTTCCTCTGTTACATCTTCAAATCAATTCTGTAAGCAGATTGTTGGGAGTGTAAGACAACTCTTCTTTTCTGGGCCCTGCGTTGTGTTCTGACAAACACCTTACAGAATTGCCCAGTTGAAGTTTATATATATCACAGAAATTCATTAACAAAACTTATCAAATAAATAAACGACATTCATTAAAGTATTGCCTAATTTTCCCTAATTATATTCATGTAATTTTTCTTAATCTATTAAGATTCTAGTTAAACACAAATTCTAAAAGAATAAAAAAAGATTGATAATTTAATGAAAGTAAAAATTAGTGGATCAATTTAGAGTTTTGTAGTTTTATTTAATTTTGTTTATGTCTATTTAAGTAAATTTACATAGCATTTAAAATATAATAAAAAACTATTTTTAAAAGTGGATGTACTTATAAAAAGTATGGATGGTAATAGCGGTATCCCTAGAAAATAGTAAGAAAAGAGAAGGTTAAATCTTACACGTAATACTATATAGTCGATTTTAATATTGCGTACTAACCATGCACTTAGTAAATTCTAATATTGCGTGCCAACCATGCACTAAGTGTGTCCGGTCACTTTTGACAATGACTTTGTGTACAACAATGAAGTCACAATTCACTTTTGATAAATATGTTTGTGTACAGCAATGAAGTCACATTACAGTTTCCTAGTCACCCTACACGAATAAAATAATTTATTCACAAAAAAGCCAGCAAACCTTTTATGCGAAAGTCATGTTCTCAGCTTCTCGCCTCACGGATTCAAAAAGCACAACCAAAACTCGAGAAGGTCACAATAATGAGTTTTCCAACATTCTCTAGTCTCTTCGCAATCCTAATTGCAGCAGCTGCTGCAGTATCAGATGATTTTCCCACTAGCAACCAACCCTTCTTTCAATGTTAGAAGCTTTGTAGTTTCTATGGCTTCATCGGTTGAAATTTGAATTACTTCATTAATAAGATCAACCTTCACAACCCCAGGAATAAAACCAGCACCAATTCCTTGAATCTTATAAGGACCAGGTTTTCCTCCAGAGAGAACATGACTTTCAACTGGTTCCACACCAAACAACTTTATACCAGGGTTCTGCTCTTTAAGGAACTTTCATGCACTTGTGATCGTCCCTCCAGTACCAATTCCAGAAACAAAAGCATCAATTTTTCCGTTCGACCCTTTCTAGATCTCTGGTCCAGTGGTTTCATAATGTATCTTCGGGTTGGCAGGATTTTCAAACTGTTGAAGAATGTAGGAGTTAGGTGTCTTGTCTCGTATCTCTTTAGCTTTCTGAACAACACCTTTCATTCCCTTTGCGGGTTAGTGAGCACCACTTCAGCACCAAAACCAATGAGAATTGAAGGCATTGTAATGATAAGCCTGTATCCCTTTGCTGCTGCCATGAATGCCAAGCCTATGCTAGTGTTACCACTTGTAGGTTCAATATGGACACTCTCCCCAGGTTTGATAAGGCCTTTTGCCTCGGCATCTGAAATCATGCTATAACCAATCCTATCCTTAACACTAGAGAAAGGCTCCATAGATTCCAGCTTGGCCGCAACACGCGCGACGCAACCATCAACAATATTATTAAGGTATACCAATGGGGTTTTACCAATCAATTCGGTCACATCCTTAGCAATTCCAACGTTTTCCTCTGTTACATCTTCAAATCAATTCTGTAAGCAGATTGTTGGGAGTGTAAGACAACTCTTCTTTTCTGGGCCCTGCGTTGTGTTCTAACAAACACCTTACAGAATTGCCCAGTTGAAGTTTATATATATCACAGAAATTCATTAACAAAACTTATCAAATAAATAAACGACATTCATTAAAGTATTGCCTAATTTTCCCTAATTATATTCATGTAATTTTTCTTAATCTATTAAGATTCTAGTTAAACACAAATTCTAAAAGAATAAAAAAAGATTGATAATTTAATGAAAGTAAAAATTAGTGGATCAATTTAGAGTTTTGTAGTTTTATTTAATTTTGTTTATGTCTATTTAAGTAAATTTACATAGCATTTAAAATATAATAAAAAACTATTTTTAAAAGTGGATGTACTTATAAAAAGTATGGATGGTAATAGCGGTACCCCTAGAAAATAGTAAGAAAAGAGAAGGTTAAATCTTACACGTAATACTATATAGTCGATTTTAATATTGCGTACTAACCATGCACTTAGTAAATTCTAATATTGCGTGCCAACCATGCACTAAGTGTGTCCGGTCACTTTTGACAATGACTTTGTGTACAACAATGAAGTCACAATTCACTTTTGATAAATATGTTTGTGTACAGCAATGAAGTCACATTACAGTTTCCTAGTCACCCTACACGAATAAAATAATTTATTCACAAACTTCTTAGATTGTCATGTGAGAGCTCATTTATATGATGAGACTTTTCCGAGCAGTGATATGTGCACGATAAATATGCTACTTTGCTTTCTATATATGTTTTATGTGATTTAAATCTTTTACGCACATTCATGCCAATTTATTGAGGTTGTGACGTGGTTGAGGGGTTTGTGTGACTCAATTTGTTCAGGCACATTCCATTGCACTACGAGTAAGAAAGTAATCCCATTTCTGTTACTGTAGTGCTGGTTATGAGGACCAAAAGCAGGAAAAGCCCTGCAATTCAGCTTGATTACACAATCTATATTCAGGAGATTAAGCCCTGGCCCCCATCACAGTCACTGAGAACACTTCGTTCCGTTCTGATTCAATGGGAACATGGTGATAGGATTTCTGGGATTACTAACCAAGTTGTCCCTTCACTTGGGACTGGATCTAGTGCAGCTGATGGAAGAATTGAATTCAACAAGTCTTTTAGGCTTCCTGTGACACTATTGAGAGAAATGTCCATTAAATGTGGGAATGGAGATACTTTTCAGAAGAATTGCCTCGAGTTCAATCTATATGAACCTCGGAGTAATAAGATGGTGAAAGGTCAGCTGTTGGGTATTGCTGTTGTGGACTTGGCAGATTACGGTGTTGTTAAAGAGAGTCTGAGCATTAGTGTTCCCGTTAACTGTAAGCGGACATATAAGAACACTGCACAACCACTTCTCTTCCTTAAGATTCAGCCAGTTAAGATGAGAGGAGCTTCAGTGCACAGGAATAATAGTGATTCTGTTTCTTCATTGCTGAGTGAAGAATATGCAGAAGAAGCTGATTCAGCCTCGTTTACTGATGATGATGTTTCCTCACGCTCTTCGCTGACTGTTTTGTCTTCAGTTGTTGAATCAAACGGCTGTTCAGCTCATCAGAAAGTGGTAGGTTGCTTGTGCTAGTCTCGTTTTTATCACTTTAATACCTTTATCATTTCAGTGACAACTGTTAGCTACCTATAATTAAGTGGCTAAAATTTCATAAATCTGAATGCGTTCTCGATAATGTAATTAAACTTAGATAAATTCGTGTACTTTCCCTTGGATAGTTATGGTGTTGGTATATGCATGATGTTATTGTCACATTTATCACTGTCTAATTGCTTCTCTTCATTAGTTCTCTTAACATAGTATATAATGTTAGCAAATTGGAAAATAATTTCAGAATGGAAAACTGGGAGGGAATGGCAGTATTGTAGATGCAAAAGTTGACCATTTCCGAGATTCAAAACACCATGTCGCCAAATCACATAAGGAGCAAGTGAGTATAGAGAGGTTATCTTGTTCCTCATCAATAGATTTATCCTCTGATCTTTCGTGGATCTCAAAGAAAATTACTGCTCGAAGTTTGCAGTCCTCTTCAACTGAAGCATCAGAGAGAGAGAAGAATTTTAACTTGAGAAGCCACAGGCATGAAAAACAATCAACGAATATTCAGGAAAACAATGTTGCAAGTGACATAAAAATTGAATGCTCCAAAGGAAGAATATTTAGTGGTATTATTACCAAAGAAACCCATGCGAATTTAGATAGCCAGGCAGATGAAGATTTGGACTTTGTCGAATCTCATTGCAGTAGTAATGGTGATGATATTGTATCACCTCTCAGCGTAGACGATCCTAATTATTTTCGAAGAAGTGGTGTCACTCATAATGGTTTTAAAAAGGCTGAGGTCCCAGAAAATCATCAAGAATATGCACAAGAAACAGAAATTACAGAAGAGAATGCGAAATGCATTGAAGATGATCTGTTGAATAGTTCTTCTCAAGATGATGTTCAAAATCAAGTCTCAGTTGGTAATGGAGAGCTTTCTTCCAGTAAAGAGAATCTTCTGTTTAACAGAAATTTACCAAATACTGATGATAGATCAAATCATGGGAAGTCTGTTCAATCAACAACAGACTCGTACAGAAACAACAGTTCTGTTCAGGTTAATCAATATTTTGTGGCAGAGAGTGATATAACTCGAGGATTTTTAGGGAGAAAACCAAAAGATGCTAAGATGCCTTCAAAGGAATCAAGAAATCACTTTTCAGAGAGTAGAATTCAGCATTTGGAACACAAAATAAAGATGTTAGAAGGAGAACTGAGAGAAGCTGCTGCTATGGAGGTTAGTCTTTACTCAATAGTTGCAGAGCACGGAAGTTCCATGACTAAAGTACATGCTCCAGCTCGACGCCTCTCAAGGCTCTATCTTCATGTGTGCAAACAGAATTCAAAATCAAGAGCATGCAGTGTGGCTAAAAGTGCCGCATCAGGATTACTTTTAGTTGCAAAAGCATGCGGAAATGATGTTCCTAGGTATGTTTTACACTCACCATCCTAGTTCCAAAGCATATCAAGCTAGTTTCATTGAGCTTGATACTTACTCGAAGTGGAGAAAGAGTCTATTTTCTTGGTTTTTAATTAAACACAAGTGGATTCTCGTGACATGCCCAAGGCCCCAGCAAAAGTTCTCAGTTCTTTCATTTTCTTTCTCTCGTTTATTTATTTGGTTTTGACTTTACTAGGTCAGTATAGTTCAATCAATTACTGGGAAAGTTATTTTTAGTTATTTTTCAAATGAGTATTTTTTTTCCTAGTGATAATCCATATCCTGCTGCTATTATTGGTAAAAACTATGAAGTGTTTGACTACTGGTTAACTGCATATCTCTTGAAACGTCACAGAATCTGAAGCCATCCAAGATTCAAGTTAGATTGTTTTGAACCTAGACAAAGTTATTGTTTACAAAGCATAGTTTAACTTATTTTGTGCTTCGTATGATACCTTCTACTTATTGCAGATTAACTTTCTGGCTGTCAAATTGCATTCTACTGAGAGCAATTATAAGCAATTCATTTGGAAAAAGTCAGTTACCTGTTTCTGTTCGACCTGTCACTGGAAAGGTGGGGTATAGGAATGGCAACAAGAAGCCATCAGCACTAATATGGGGGTCCATTTCCAGCAAGGGTACAAGAATTGCTACCGAGGAAAGTTTCAATAACTGGGAGAACCCCCTTATATTTGCTGCTGGACTTGAAAGGGTTGAAGCATGGATATTTTCTCGAATAATTGAGTCTATTTGGTGGCAGGTATTCACTTTCTATTATTTATTAGATTGCTCTGGCAAATTTCTCTGTGTAGTTAATAGAAGCCAAAGAAGACAAGTTCTGCTTAAGAAGCTCAGGTTTCCTGATACTGATCATATCAGAAGAGAATTTGGTGACTCTAACCTGAATGAAACCATTTAGTTAGCTAAGCCTATGTACGGCTCATTGTTTCCCGGTGTTTATAAACACCCTGGTCAAAAACACTTTTGGCCAAACTACTTTTTTACTCACACATTTAGTAGGATCTACCTACTTCACCACTCATTTACCCGTGTTTATAAGCACCTTGCCAGACATACCCTAAGGGATTTTTGTTGTCATGTTTTTCCAGACTTTCACTCCACATATGCAGTCCGGTGCTGCTAAAGCAATTCGTAAAAGTATGAATTCTGACAAAAGTAGATTATATGGAAGGACATCTAGTTCAGCCAATCAAGAACAGGGTAATTTTTCTTTGGAACTTTGGAAAAGGGCCTTCAGGGATGCTTGTGATAGGATTTGTCCTGTTCGAGCTGCAGGACACGAGTGTGGATGTTTGCACATGCTTTCTAGAATGGTAAAACTTCTATACCATTATCTTTTTACCATGTGAACATGAAGGTCCAATTTTTCCCTCTGGATTGTTATGAGCAACTTACCGCAAAGTTTTACCTTTGGGGGTATGTTATATGGCTATCACCATTTTTGCACGGTTCCCTTTACTAATTATTTTGGAAGATTCTTTTTCCAGGAAACATTATGAATAATCTGATACTGGATATCAACTTACATACGTTGTTAGATGTTTCATTGATATTTTTATCATGCAAAACCTGCTTTCTTCACGGAATATACTGTTAAAAAGTTCTGTTTTGATAACTAGATAATGGAGCAATGCATTGCCAGATTGGATGTATCAATGTTTAATGCCATCCTTCGTAAATCTGCTGACGAAATTCCAACAGATCCTGTTTCCGACCCCATTAGTGATTCTGAGGTTCTTCCTATTCAGGCAGGGAGCGCTAGCTTTGGGTCCGGTGTACAACTGAAAAATGTGGTGAGTTATTTCTTACACAATGAAGCCAATAAATAGAAAAGAAAATGTTGGGCAAATTGTTGTCAAACGACCTCCCAGGCTATGATGTTAATTCGGTTTAATTCCATGTTGACTTTGGCAAATGACTGAATGGAAAATATGGCATCACAATCGAAATCACCTAACCCGAAGGTTAATTGGGTCATTTGAAGCAATCTAAATTTTTTAGTGTAGCTTATGACCCAACTCACTTGTTTGGATGGTCAAAATAAGGGAAGTCCACTTAGTAGCTCATTTGTCTAATGTTGGGCCTTACTTAACCCATTACTTAACCTACCTAGACTTACCTTAAGTGGTCATATGTTTGAATATATATTGGGCTTTGTCTTCTTCTCTTGGCATCCAACCCATGTGTCTCCTTCTTTGTGAGATATTCTGTCTTCTGCTCCTCTGCCCATCATCTTTAGGGATGGCAAAAAACCCGTCCTGCCCCGCTACCCCAAATGGGTTGGCGGGGTGGGGCAAGGCATGGGCGGGACAAGGCGAGGATGCCCAGCCCCAAACCCGCCCCGTGAAGATAAAAATTAGAAAATTTTATTTCTAGACAATTCACTCGTTAGAAATCCATTTTGAATTTGTATTTTATTCTCTAATAATAACAGAATTCGAAACTTTGAAAATGTAAAGAAAATAAAAAAAAAATTAAACGGGACAAAAGGTTGCCCATCGCGCCCCATCCCGCGCTGTCTAAGGTGGGGCAGGGTTTGGGCCAAACGGGCGCGGGGTGGGGNCCCTGGAGTTTTACTTGACGCCTTGAATTCAGAGGTTTGTTCATTTCCAAGGATTCTGATCCCTGGAGTTGTACTTCCATAATAAATATTGTACTAGTCACTTCTTTCTCACACATTTGAAGTACACATGCATTATGTTTTTTAAAATTTAAGGATGTTAATCTCTTGCTCAATTGGATTTTTCTCTTAGGATCCCCTCGAGGCCGAGGAAGATTCTTTTATAAACTTCCCGTGTGCTGCAGCCCCTATCGAATATATGGCACCTTCGGTTTCTTCTGTTACTGTAATTCTACATGAGTTCGGTAGCTACTCTTCAGTGCTCAAGAAATCACACACTAGTGACGACGAGCTCGATGAACTGAATTCGCCTTTAAGATCCATAATCACCAACAGTTTTCACTCTTCACGTTCTTCGGCAGAGCCCGACTGGAAGTTGAAAGAAAGTGGAAGTCAAAATGCTGTGAGGTATCAACTCCTCCGGGAAGTATGGCTGAGCAGTGAATGACCAGTAGTTTAAATGATCTTCAATTTACAGCCTACTTATAGAAAATATATTCCTATTTTATTTTTTATTTTTTTTCAATGGGCGGCACAAGGACTTTTCTTGCCATGTATTATAATACCAGAAAAGAAGCCGAAGTTTTTTGTCTACTATATCAATATGTATACAAATATTAATAGCCTGCAACTGGAAGAATTCGAATTTGGCGGCCTTCTGGAAGTTTCTATTGTTTGGGTTGATGATTATTTTATACTAATAATGATTTTCGTGTTTTCTTTAATCAAGTTCTTGAATGTGGAAAAATTACATGGACAATACTTCTTGAAGATTTATTTGGATCAAAATCTCATTTGAGATATGCGCCGACTGTGGGGCTCGAACCCACGACCACAAGATTAAGATCGTTGCGCTCCACCGACTAAGCTACACGGGTTTGATATTGCTAAATTGTTAAGTATAATTAGGAAAATGATTAATATCCTGGGTGACAAAACAAGACTTAATAATGTGAACATGCGTGATGCCACAATACTTATGGTTGACTAGTAATTGTAAAGTTAGGTAAACATTTATTTTTTTTAGCCACATAACCAAATAACTTAGGTTATCAATAAGTAATCGCATTGTACTTAAAAATGTCCATTAACTTTTTAAATTAAATAACTCTCTGCCGTAATTTTATAAATATTGGACACTTCCTGGGCGGTTCCAAATATTCTGGAAGTTGGACTTTCTCAAAACAAAAGCGCCCACCATTTTTAATTTTCTAATTCAGCATCCGTACACCCTTGCCATTATATGTATGTACCGTTCTATACATCTAACCAGCTTGGATATTAGGGTTCTCACATATACATATTTGTTTCGACTGTTAATGGATAAACACCAGCAATACAAACGTGCGTTTAATCATTTTGATGCAAACGGAGACGGGAAAATATCGGCTTCAGAGTTGCAGCGGTGTGTTGAATCAATTGGCCGAGGAGGAGAGTTGTCGTTGGCAGACGCAGAGGTGGCTGTGGTTCTGATGGACACTGATGGAGATGGATTGCTTTGTTTTGAGGATTTTGTGAAATTGGTGGAATTTGGAGTCGGAGAAGAAGAAAAGGCGAATGATTTAAAGGAGACGTTCAGGCTGTATGAAATGGAGGGAAGTGGGTGCATTACACCCAAGAGTTTGAAGAGGATGCTCTGTAGATTAGGAGAGATCAGAAGCATTGAGGAGTGCAGTCTTATGATTCATCATTTTGATCTCGATGGAGATGGGGAGCTCAATTTTGATGAGTTCAAGGTTATGATGTCGTGTTAACCTTAAATTGTTTCATCTTCGTTTCAGTTTTTGTTTCTGTATATGTATATGTCTCAATTTCATCATTGATTGCTGATTATTGTAGAAGTAGAAATTCTTTCTGCCATGGATAATTGGATTTAAGAAAGGGAGAAAATGTATAACTATTAGACTAATTTCATAACTAACAATAATATAAAATAGTTTCAAAAATCAAGTAGTAAATACAATAAAATAATATATTTCGGACATGTTCGATAATAATTATGAGAATTGATTTTTTAATCGTTAGAGAGAAAAGTAGATCTCATCTGTGAGTAAAGAATTAGGATTTGACGGCTGAAATAATAAAATAATTGTCAAAAAATTGATTTTTTGAGGTGATCAGGATCCAAGTAGCAGAGCCCCATTTGCAAATGGTATATTCTGAAATTGATTATTCAATTCACCTTCCCTCGAATTCTCCCCATTTTTAATATTTCCAAAGGTACAATACTTATATTCATATCATTACTAATTGTTTCGCTGGTTCTTGAATCCCACTTCTCATTTTAGAAGCCGCAAAAACTCCATTTCATTTTTGGACTCATTATGCCCACAAATACTATTGTTCACATCAATTTTACTCGATCCTACCGCATTATTTGTACTTCCACCGATGACCAAATTGTGTTTAACAGTGACAATTTGTGACTAAATCTATGTAAGTTATTATTATTTGTAATCATATCTGTATAAGTTATAATTGTTTGTGACTAGACCAGTGTTATTTGTGATCATGTGTGATCAAGTTTGTTTTTATTGTGATTGTATGTGACTAAGTCAATCTAAATTGTAACAGTATGTGACCAAGTTACTATTAATTTGGTGCATATAGTCACAATCAATCATAATTAATACAGACTTGATCATGGAAGATCACCACAAATAAATTCACACGCACTGTAGACCAGCATCATAATCCACAACCACCATCTCCAACATTGCACCACCACCACATTCAACTCAACTCAACAATTATAAATACTACATTCACCTCAAATCCATAACAGTAATCACCAGCACCATCACTTCCATATCCACCTAAAACCCATCATGCCCTCCATCTTAGATTCAAATCTAAGTGAAATGGTCGATAACTGTGGGCCCAGTTGACCCCATTAATTTAGATCTGTACAAATGAGATGGATAAAAAAAAAAAAAAGAATAGATCTAGTTGATTTCGCTAACGAGATGGATAAATAGGTAGAAAGAGAAATTCTTCATTATGTTTCTATTTATTATAGAAAGAGATATATAGAAATGGGCTAAATGGCTAGAGAAAAATTTAAGCTCATGTTTGAGCCCTATTCTTTTGCATTCTCTCTCATTATTTTTTCTACGATATTCATTTTAACCACATATTCTTTATTTAAATAATATTACACTCAAATAAAAAAAAATTCTTTTTTAACCACACATTATTCATCAATCACTATTTCATAATATATTACTTCAAATTAATGGGACAAAAATGGGGCCTAAATTAGAGAGATAGAGAGAGAAAGTGAGTGATTTATAAAGAGCGAGATTGAGAGATTTATTTGTATATATGAATATACGTATAATAGAGTAGGGGCGAGGGTGGTGCGGTGGGGAGTAGGGGAGGTATTAATTAATCTAATAATTTTTAATTATCACTTAATTTATGAATTGAAAACTAATCCTCCTTGTTTTTGAATAGTATACTTAGAGCTTGTTTTGTCTTAAATGTATTTTGACAGAGAATGTATAGTTAAAAGATGAGAAAAATTTTAAATTTGCATGTAGTACTATTTTATTGAAAAATGTGTGGTTGAAAAGAAGGGAAAAAATATATCTAAAAAATAATGGAAACCGAACAAGGAATTTTGGGTAATTTTCCCTTTAAGATTTCGTTCACTCACTTCCTCTCCGATTTGTTGCTGTGCTCCCTATAGAGGCCCATTGGGCTTCCACACTAGATGGAGTATTGGGCTTCAGAGGCCCAAAAATGTAGTTTCATAAGCGATCCATTAGTAACAGAGCAAGATGGGAAACTGGCCCAAAAATAGATAACTATCGAATTGGGCCTATTAGTGTAGATATTAACAATTGAACACACTATTGGTTTAACTTAACAATAGAAGAAAATCTCAAGAACTGGTTCAAAATAAGTACCTTTGATTAAAACAAATTTGTGTTGAAATTTTTCTGGAATGAGTCTGTGTAGAGGGACACATAGTTAGATGTCACATGATAAGTAGGAAGTTAGCTTAGGAGTAGTTCCAATTTTTATTCCCACCCACTACTAATCCGTGCATTGAAAAATCAAACTAATGGGGTCGGGGGGCATCAACTATTAACTACCCATGTGTTACTTGTAAATTAGATGGAACAAATAAAATTATAGATAAATTCTTAATTCGATTTAATTATTTTTTAATTTGTAATGTCAAATATGTTCAAGATATTTATGAAGGGGGTTTTTGAGATGCATTTTTATGTAAAAATGCATTTTAGAATCGTAACTTAATGAAAAGTGTGTGATTGAAAAATAAGGATTTTTTTTTATTTACGTGTAATATTATTTTAATAAAGAATGTGTGGTTGAAAAGAAGAAAGAAAAAATACATTTTTTTTAAAAAAGGTACCAAACGGGAGCTAAATATTTATTTTATACTGCAAGTATGTCAACATTGAACATCACAATTTCCATCTAAAATAACTCACTACAAACACTCACACGTTGAAACTCAATTAGCCACACAAATCAATATGCACAATAAAATCTAGGGAAAATTGCAGCAATAATCCTTAACCTTTTCATTTTTTGCAAACTTTATTCTAATCTTCATTTGTGCTAGCGGAAGTTCCTAACTTTTCATAAATATACACTTGAGATTCATCTGCATGGAAACCGTCCAAAACATTATCTATGAACGAAAAATTGAAGGAATTAACATCCAATAAAACCTTCCAAAAAACCATCCAAAAACACTGTCCAAAAAGGTACCAACATTTAATAAAATTGTCGCGATAGCATATAGTTCAAGAAATTTTCTTGATCAATTGACGGTGTTTTGAATAATTTCCATTCAAATAGACCTTAGGTGCATATTTATGAAAGATTAGGAATATTCACTAACACAAATGAAGATTAGGGTACATTCTACAAAAAATGAAAAAATTAGGGAGCGCTACTACAATTTTAACCTTAAATAAATTGAAATATTATGCCACTTAAATAAATTGAAATATTATGCCACTAACTTTTCCATCGCTAGTGTCCACGCCCATGTTCATACTTGCATTGAATTCGTTTCACGCCCCAAATCTGACTCTTTCCATGTCCAGTTAGAGTGAGCGTCTCGGTCCCTCCTACTACCCCTGCCAACGGTTTCTTAATTCTTCACCTTATGGCTTCTGCTCACTTCAATCTCTTTAAAATGTGTTTCTGAACAAAAGAAACTTATAGAAATATAAAATTTGAATTGGTGTGCGCCTTTTTTTGGAGAAATGGGTTCGTGTGTTTCGGTGCACAAAAGTCGGAAATTATCAGCTTTGAAGCTCCATCTGTCAATGCGGTCGAAAAATGAAAAATCTGTGGCACCATCGCCTGTGAAAGAAAAGCCGGCGGAGGTTACCGGAGGTGAGATATTGATAGCTAACTTGGCTCTTAAGTCTCAGTGGTCACCGGCTTCCCCCACCACCCCGTTTCGTGACTCTGGTACGATTTCCCGGCAAATTGCAATTTTTCCTTTTTGTGTGGTTTTGTTGTGTCATATGAGTTATTTGTAGTTTCAACTCTCTAGTTTATATGGTAAAATTTGTTTATTAATCTTTTTGATTTGATTATTTTTCCCCTTCAATTATTTTTGTTTTCTGTTTGTATCTGACCTGTTGTTTTCATATTTAATTATTATTATTATTATTATTTTGGTTGGTTGACCCCCTTTTATTGTCCCAGAAGAACAACCATATGATTTGTTTCAAGAATTGAATTTCCTTTACCTGGTAGAATTTTACCATGGCAAAGATTAAACTTTTATAGAAGTGACAGTTTTTTAGCTGGTTTTCGTGGTGTATAATTGATATTATTGGTCTTAGATTTACGTAGTATGTTGAATAATGTTAAAATTATTGGTACCCTTGGAATTGAAATATCAACACTTCCTATTAGAAAAAGGACCCAGTCTCCATTTTGAAAACTGGATTTCAATAATCTATGGCTTTTATGAATGAAAAAAATATCCTTCAAAGGCCTTGTAAGGTTTGGTATTTTTCTTTTTTATAAAAATATCCTGGCATAATGTTTTTTTTCTTGGGGGACCATCTACCTAGTGATAGAGAAGTGGGAATTAATTTTGTGCAATGGTCACTTTCCTACAATATTTTCTTATGCTGTATATTGAGATAATAAGATATAGACTGCTTAACCTTTTTGCCTATAGAGTATAGGCTACAGTTTTATTGACAATTAGCCATTAATGCTGCTGAATTTTTATTTGAGGTGCTTATTTTATGTTCTTGCTATTTCTATATGAAGATTGTGACTTGTAGAATATTTTCCTAGTAATAGAGGAAGGAAGGTTTCCTCAAATACCCTTTTAGGTGAATTTGTTATGAAATTGAAATGATCCTTCCATAAACCTGGCACAATATGGTTTCTAATCATTTTCTGTACTCGGGATAATAAGAGTTCAACAACTCCCTACCCTTCTTTCTTGATTGGAGATTTTAATCACATAGTGACTCCAAACCTAACAATCGTATGGCTTGTGAGAATATGACCCCACAGAAAATATATTGACATTGGACAGCACATATGTTAGTAAGTTCAAGCCTTCACAAATGATGTTCCTATTGAGGGGCCTATCATCCCATAACTTTCCATGAATTGATGATTTATCAAGCCAGGTTGAATGGTTACTTTCAATTCTAATTGCCAGACTGTGACACATGGACCAGGCTCTTAAGAGGATGGTGACAAATATGAGATATTGGTGTGTGAGCATTTAAGCCCTAATGAAAGGGAGTAATGGTTGAAGGAGGTGAAAGAAATTTACATCCATGTCTCAATAGAATCCCAATGCTGCCTGCAAGAAAGGACCATTTATATAATTATTCTACGCCTTTTGAGCATTTAATGAAATGGGTGAGGATGTCGCTTGTATTCTGCTTGTCTGCCGTAAATGAATCGATAATAAAGTTATTCTTTCGCTGGTAGTTGTCTTAGGAAATCTATACCTCCACAATATGGGCAGTCCTCAGAATTGTTAGGAATTTTGTTGCTGCTATGGCCTTTTCATAGATGTTTGAATTCGAGACAAATATATATTTGCTTCCTTCTAATCATCTAGTCTTGTGCTTATTCTTAGTTATCCTTCGTATAATTGTTTTCAACATATTGACTCATCTTAGTTAACCAAATAAAGTCGAGTCACCCAGGTACTACTGGATAGGAGCGCACACTCTAAGAATGAAAGGGCAGACAAGACAATAGTGGGAACCACAACATTTTAATTCCATGCCTTAATTAGTTGATATATTTCATTGTGTGCTTCTAGCATGATCATGGTATTACCCTGTCCAGATTGATGATTTTTATCCATATTTGCACAAACCAGCATAAGATATCTAACTAGTTGACTAATCTATTTTTCTGCTTCTATACTTGAGAAGTTGAAGCTTTTATATATATTGTGGAGGCTTAAATAAGAAACTTCAATATGGTGATAAGAGAATTAGTGTTTCTCCTGACTTCCTAATTTGCTCATAATTTAGTTAAATTCTGAATTTCTTTGTAACTGATGAGATATAAAGTAATGAATTTAAATCAATGTTATTTCGCATTGATGACTCACTATCTAATTTTTTAAATTCTAAGAGATTCAAATATTTTAGTTATGATAGAACTCAGTTAATTGTATTAGATGTCTATTTGTAAATATTCCCATTCTATTCTTTTGATGTGGCAATTTAGTCACAACTTGTCCTTGAGACAGTTTCCACTGTCGTGCATTTCTCGTATATGTTTTGATAAGGAAAGCACATTAAAGAACCAACATAGAAATGTTGGACCAATGTAACACCATGGGATTATACCAACACAAAAATACAGGCTTAGAAATTTTTTGAGGGTATCCAGTTTAGATGAACATAAAAATACACCACCACTATTGATAGATGCAATGGTTACATTAGTGAATTCAGGCTTATAAAGGCTGTATACTGCAGAACCTTGATGTCTAATCATTTGTTAAGTGAGATATATTTTGATCTGAGGTGTCTTAATTTCTTGCAGGTAGTAAAGGGGAAACCTTCTTTGATTCCCAACCTTGGTTAGAGTCTGACTGTGAAGATGATTTCTACAGTGTCAAGGGCGGTAAGACGCATTCTAGAGACTAGAAATTTCTTATAAGCTTTCTCCACATTCCATCAATATGCATGAATACAGATTGTCGTTCCTAGATTTTTGTTCATTTGACTGGCAGGATTGTATTACATTCTAATGAGTTCCTTTGTCGATCTAAATGCAGATTTTACTCCATCTCGTGGAAGCACTCCAGTGCACCACAGTTTTGCTGTGGGGACCCCTCCAGTGAATAGGACTATTGTACTAGAGGGAACCCCGGGTACAGTACTTCCGGAATCTCCTTCAGAAAAGAAAAAGAGACTTTCTGAACTCTTTCAAGAGAGGTTACGAGTTGATCACGATATAGATGAGCAAAATACTGCAGACAACAAAAATGGGGTTGCTGCAAAAACCAAAGCCGAGGCAACCAACTCCATTCTACCACCAAAATCTGCAAGTGGAACCCCTTGTGCTTCTGGCGCTGACTCTGGGTACAGTAGCGAAAGAACTCCCAATGCAGCTCTTATAAGAGCGGAGGACAAATCCATGAAGTCTGCAGAATGTTGTATTCCAATGTTTTGTTCAAATCGCAGCTTTAATGAAGGGAAGAAGAAGATGAGCCCAGCCCATAGCGTTAAGTGATGGATGAATTTAGACTTTATATGCTGAGAGTCAAGATCCTGAAACTCTTCCCTCTACTAAATCTATTATTTTGCTGCAATTTTTTGTGATTTGCTATAGTAGAAATAGTATTTTATTTACTTCTTTTCGACTCGAGTCAAATTGGAAAATGATGTAGGTGCTGTGGGCCGTTGGGTAACTAGCCCCAGCTTATTTTGTCGCAGTGAAGGAAAATGAAGGAAAAATACGAAAATAATATCAGTACGACATGTGGAGAAAGAAAGAAGTCATCAACTTGTTTTCACGTTTTACGAATGAATAGTTTTGTTAGAACATGAGTATTACTCGGTAGGTTGTTATCGTCTTAATTAAAAACACTGCGTTTGTTAAATGGACAACTTCAATTTGATACACTAACTAGAAAGAAACGGATTAGAAATCAATACTTGAGACCAACTTCTTATTATCTTGGTAAATGCCTATTTTTCTCTTTAAGTTGTCGGAATTATTCATAATAAGATATTGGCTGCAATTGAAAGGGTCTCGAATCTTGAAATGAGATGTGCCTCGGCACCTTTGGCATCCATGTGTCACGGACCGACCATAGGACCCTATTCAATAAGTGGGTCAACTAAATAATATTTTCGTAGCAATTGGGTGATGGATTTTTAGTTTATGGGGGTAGTATGGGATCCGTAGTTGGGGAGAAAATCACCCCTTCGAGCTCATTTTGGTCATGGGTTGAGAACGGGAATTGAACTCTATGAGATCTAATCTCCCGTCGAGTTCAATTCCCGTTGTTTCTCGATATAAACAACATATAAGTTATCATGCTTGCATATCCATCATTTGAGTCTCCAAAAATTATTCCAATAATTACATATCCGATTTGTCCATATATTTCTAGACAAATCGGCCACAATAAGACCCCTTGAAACACGTATGGGTTCGGCAAAGGGGATCCCCTATGAGACATGGAAGGGAGCCACTACGAAGAAGTTTCGGGAGTTACGAAGGAAGCTTCGAGCTCATATTGGCCATGAGTTGAGATTTTGGAGATATACACACATAAGATTTACTTGTTACTAATCTAGTCTAGCCTTTTTTTTTTTTTTAAATACCTTGTTTCACTCCGATAGTATTATCGATCATATCAATGCAGAGGAACTAAATGCATTACCCTAATCAACCGAGACCTCGCTATCAACTTCTTGTCACAAGAAGTTGATAGCGAGATCTCGAATCAACTTATTAGTTTTATGGTATATCTCAGTATCAAGAATGATACCAAAGATTTATATCTGTTTATAAACTCTCCTAGCAGATGGGTAATACCCGGAGTAGCTATTTACGATACTATACAATTTGTGTGACCAGATGTCCATACAATATGCATGGGATTCGTTGCATCAATGGGATCTTTTATCTTGGTTGGAGGAGAAATTACCAAATGTCTAGCATTCCCTCACAGTTGGCGCCAATATGTTTTATTTTTTATTTTTTTATTTGAGAGAAAAAAGGAGACTATGCCTTCGCATATTAAGTAATAATAGCACGGCACTTTGAATTTGATATGCAAAATTTTTGTCTTTTTTTTTTCTCTCAAAAAATTCGATTATGTATTGAGAGAGTAGTATGAGATAAAAGATATTTCCGATTTCTCTTTTCTATCAGGAGTCTAGTTCAGCGTCACAAACTTTTTTGTTTTCACACCGGAGGGCTTTTAAATTTCACACCAGGCGAATAATAAAGTGTTGAAGGCGGAGCTTGAAGACATCAAGTCACATGGAAGACTAACAAAATGGATGACATTATTCAAATGCAAGCCTGTATTAAAAGCGACCTAATGGATATTTGAACGAACATGCAGTTTCTATCTGAGTCTGTGTCAATAATGATATCCAATGCAATGGACGAGATCATTAGACGGTCCAGTGACAGGACAAACGAACGTGGAATAGGACAAAAAGAAGCTCCTGGAGTTGGAGATCAAGAACATCATGGGGCTGGTGGATCTGAAAAATCTCAGGAGGTAGTCACTTGATATATTTCACATTTCTGTAAAATAACATAGGTTATTTTAACATTTTTCATTCAACATGTATGTGGAAATCGTAGTATCAAATGTTGACAGAAAAGGGAAGGGCAAAATGGACCCAAGTGATGATCTTCTCTTCTCCCTTGAGCCACCATCATTTGATTTGGGGATTGAATTCACCCTACCCAATGTTTTGCATTCGGAGGAAACTCAAAAGAGGATTCCATCATATCTGATGTGGTGACCGCAACAAAGACTGTAGAGAATGAGGTATTTACATGTTCCAGTAGTTGTATATCTCAAATCACACATATCTCCAAACCATGTTATATTATTAGGTCACAGATTACACACTTCAGATCATGTCCTATTCATAGGTTACATTTCACAGACATTCCAAACCATGTCCCTTTCATAGGCTATGGATCACACACAATACCAACACATGTTCCAGTCATGGATCACAGAGCATAGATACTATCAAACCATGTCTCATTCATAGCTTATAGGTCACAGACACAATTCCAAACCATGTCACATTCTCAGGTAACAGATCACAGATTCCTTCAGCCCATGTCCTATTCATAGGTCACAGATAACATACATTCCACACCATGTTATATTAATGGGTCACAGGCCACACACCCTTCCAAACTATCTTCCAATCATATGTCACAGGTCACAGACACATTCAGATCAGGTCACATGTATAAGTGACAGACCAAACACGCTTACAAATTATGCCACAGACAGCTCATGTGTCGTATTTTCAATCAATTTGTAACCTACTGTAATAATATACAGGGATCACCTACTGCTAAACCAACCTCGAAATTACCAGTTAAGCGGGTTTTAAGGCCAGCGAGAGTATTACAGTCTCCTTTCGTTGCCGAACGGGAGGACGAAATTATTCAAGCACAATGATAATGTTGTCGTTTTTGAGAATTACAAAGACAATGTTGACGAAGTTGACAAATCAGCCTTCATGGGTTGGTTCCAGAGGGGGTACAAACCAAAAAACAAGTAAGTGAATTTCGTACTATTTATGAAAAGTTACTCAATATACAGTTTTGACAAAAGAATGTAACCTTTAATGTCGGTCACAAGAAAAAGTTTAGATGGGAAGACGACGCCATCAAGCCTATTTTTCTAATTGGTTCATTCCCAGTAGGTTATAAGACTTGGTTCCACGAGCTTATAAATTCGGAGTCATCACTTAGTGGTGCGGTACGATTACGTTTACACACTCAATTAAGTTACATTACTCTTTTAAAAATTCTGATTTCTTTTGTACCCGTTAAAAGAGTATTAGAGATGATACAAACAAGTCACATTTCATATTGGAATTAGTCACAGATTCATTTGTATCACGTCTGTTGTACGCAATGCTTACATCTTTTCTTCTCATTGAAATAGCAAATGGATGCCTGCTTCTATTTCATTCACTAGGTAGCAAAATTTGACAAAAATGTGAAATACAAGGCCACTACCACAAACTCATGGTTCCAGATTAAAATAAAAGACATTTTTCCAGCCTTCATGAAGGACTCAAATGTTCTGATGTCAGAACTGAGCCAGCTTGAGGTTGTAACAGGTCACAACCTCTCTTTTAGCTCACCCTGAGCCGATGTTGACTATGTGTTCATGCCGATCATACCCACCAACAAAGCACATTGGATGCTTGGCCTGTTATAATTCAGAAGTCATACTTTGATTGTGTTCAACTCGACGGGTAAATCTTACCGTGACTAGAAGGTTTTGTAAGGTATTGAGCCGTACGTGAAGGTATTGCCTGCTCTAATGAATACCTTGAGAATTTCAAAGAAGGATCCTGATTATCACGAACCAGAAGCCAAAGAATTGGAGGTGATCATTGACGACGCACTCCCTCAACAAATAAATGGTTAAGTCTGTGATCAAGATTTACAATGCGAATATCATTTTGATGGATTCATTCATAACAGTCTGTCACATGTTCTGCAATCATGATTGCGGGATATTCGTGGTATTATATGCGTTGTATCTTATCCGTGGTGGTAGATGTTCCATTCCCAAGAAGTTTGATACTAGCAAGTTCAGAATGGATATTGCTACGCTGCTCTACAAACACTAGCAAGTTTACATGAAGAGAGTGAATCAGCCTATGACGGAGGAAGCACTTGTTCTAAAATGAAAACTGGCTTTAGATTTGTTAGTGAGGACAAGGATTTAGTTTGTAAATGTTATGAACATTGCATGTGTCTAATCAATAGAGGTTCATGTAATGAATAGTAACTCGTAACCTTTAATTTGCAATAAAGGATATTAAAGTGTTTACGTTCATGATTCATCCATCTTCGATTCCATTTTAATGATATTTTTATATATATGGTGTAAATTATACAGGTTCTTTATTTCGAACAACGTCACGTATCGGTGAAACATGTCAAATGGTACAACAGACAGGTCACAGTTGGTTTCTTAACTTGGTCACTTATTTACATACCACGTTACACATACCTTTCATACAACACGTGACATGTCACAGCACATGGGTTACAGACATTAGGATTCATGTTACCCGTATGTGTCCACACCTCAAGTAACATATTCTTATTTCAGGTTACATATTCACAAATCGGTTAACTTTTTCATACGGCATGTCACACATCACAGGTCATAGCACACAAGTCACAGATCTGGTATTAGGTTATAGATGTGGTCCAAATCTCAAAGAATTATTATTCTGACTCCAAAGTTGACAGACAATTAACTGTTAGTTGATGAATCTGAATGCATTCTCTAAAAAGACTATTTTCAATGAACATTATCCTTAAAAGAATATCACCTATCTATGAAATATTTGTATGTAATTCTATTGGTCATTTTAGTGTAATGGAGCCAAGCTGGCGCATCTCCTACGGTTGTGACTCTGTCCTCCACAACGTCCGCATTTTGCCATCGGTCTCTCTTCTCTGGATGATCTCGTTCTTTTTTCCATAGGTCTTCCACAACTCCTCTTCTGGTTAAGAGGTAACACTATTTCTGGTTGTACTTTTTTCGGCACTGTCCATTCCTCTTGATTTCCAACGGGATATACAGAATCTTGGTACGCGCGCATTTTTTGTGTAATAATAAAAACAGTAATCATATGGATCTCTTCTTGTGTTTACAATTATAGCCAAAGCGTGTGGACACAGTAACAAATCAACTTGTAGAATCCTGCAAGTGCACGTTTGTTGCTCAATATCGACGACAAACATTGATCTTTTATTGCTGATAGAAAATATTATCTGGTTTGAAGGAGATACCTGCGTACATGTAATAACAGTCAGGTCATATGTAGTTGTATACAAGTCACATATACTCCATCGTGTTGGTCACGCATGAATGACTCATATCCCTGAGTTCATTTACAGATTCAAGAAGCATGTTACACATGTAGTCCAGACATCACTTGGCAGATAGACATGTATTAGAATACATAGTTGATAGAGAGTACACAGTTACATCACATATCACATCACATAGGTCACAGATTTAGATATTGGGTTACACAAATTTGTTCCATTTACAGATAGCTGTGAAATAGAATATAGAGCTTCAAACTTAGTTTACCAACGAGTCCACAAAATCACAAAACAGGTCATATATCAGATTTGCTACATTATAGTTCAAGCTACTGACACTTACGATGGGTCACATATACATCTGAATGTTAAAATATAGAAAATTACCCTCAAGTTCTAAATCCATGCACATTTTCCTAATCTCTTTCTCGTACTTACTCGAAAACTTTGTGATTATTTCATGCGCATCATCCCTGTGTTTACAAAATCACAATTGTATGGTTTGCCGTAATGACTTTAGCAAAGATACAATAGGGTAATTTTTGACTGCCTTCGTGACCGTGTTGACCGATTCCACAATGTTTGATGTCATTGTAGAATATTTGTTTGTTGGTATATGTATTTGTGACCACTTTTCAGGTCCGACACGAGCCTGCAAACATAAATCAATTCAATGAACATCATATAAATACCATATGTGACCATTTATATGTATGTAAAATGAAATAAGACGTAGTACACTACCATGTACGAAATAATATTCTCATTCATCGTTGTCAGCAGAGACAAGTTATAATCATATTCTTCCAGTGTGTAAGCACGGATAGTCGAATTAAATGCTTGTGTAATGTTTTGGTCTAACTTTCTATAATATGATTTTATATTTTGCAGCAAATGATAAGAACAAATACCGTGATAGGCTCTCGAATACACATGTTCTATCACATTCTTTATACTTGGGTGACGGTCCGACACAAAACACAGCCCTTCTCTGTTTCCACACGCCTTCTTCAACTCATCGAAAAACCATCCCCAAGATTTGTTATTCTCATTGTCTCCAATTCCAAAAGTAAGAACGAATATGCTATTATTTGTATCTTGTGTATATGCTATGAAAAGGGTACCTCCATATTTACCATTCAAGTATGTACCACCAACAACAATCACCGGTCTACAATGCTCCCATCCCCGTATTGATGCTCCTAGTGTCATAAAACAATATTTGAACTTACTGTGACTACCAACCTCTATTTCTGTGATCGTACCAGGATTTTTCTGTCGGAGCATGTAGAAGAATTTTGGCAATTTACCAAATGACTTGGTTGGATCACCCCTAATCATTTTCAAAGTTTGCTTGCGAGATCTCCAAGCTTTCATATAACTCAAATAAACCCTAAAAGTATTCAACATGTCACTGCATATGTCCTTTGGTGTATATATAGTACGGGACAATGTGTACTTGTACTTAATTGTAGATGACACAACCTTAGATGACACTTGTCTATGTGATCCCAATACTACATTTGATGCACATGTGTGACTACCAATCTTTCGAATCTTAAATAGATCTGTTTTACCTCATATTGACGATCTACATATCCAACTATATCCACCATTCGAACACCTCACAATATATTCTCTCTTGTCGGACCATCCAACCATAAACTCAAACATGTTCTGTATAGCAAAAAATGATAGGCTCATTTTCAAAACATCTTTATCACGAAACACCCTTCCTTCTTCTACCTCTCTAGCATCCGTGATAGACACAACTGTGACTTCAGTGTCACAAACGTGACCCATTTTTTCATTTGATGCTTCTCATATGTTTGATGCCATGTCTTGAAATGTAAATATCTCACCGCTGGAATGCGCATTGATTGGCACTGTGATGGACGCATTATCTATTCTTGCCTCAACAACGTCAACAATTATCAGATATTTAGTAGGTTCACGCTCCATGTCCTTTAGCAGAATAAATGATAGCTAATTTATTGTCATTTTTTATCCTGATGGGAGGCAAATCTTTCTTCAGTATGTACTTCAATGACACCGCTACCTTCGTAGGATCTAAAGCAAATTCTATCATAACTGTATTCGCAATGGTTAAATAACTGCAGTTCTGAGCTGCCAACACCAATGAGGATTGCAATCCATAAACATACGTGCAAGTACACCATTATGCAAATTACAATTAATATCAATAATTTCATCATAGGTCAAATATGTCACATGTCACACTGCACAGCAATGATGTCACAAATTAGCAAACCAAGTTACAGATAGTTATGGATAAGACAATCACAAGTCGGGTCACAGATCGGTATCATTTAGACTATAGAGTTGACAGGGAGGGTCACATATGCTCGAAACGAATGACGAAATGTTTAATTTTATATTCTCGGCACATAGTGGGCAAAACACGTCACATCAAATAGGTTACAGTTTCACAAGTCACAATTTCACAAAGCAGGTCACACATTACCTATTAGGGTTACAAAGCCACAAATTAGGTCACATATGGCTTTTCCTACATTGTTACACAGTGGTCACGTAAGCTCGAAGTAAATAACGACATGTTTGATGGCAAATACATGGACATAGTTGTTAAAACACTTCACATTTCACAGTAGAGAGGTTACAGTTTCATAGATCAAGTCACATTCACACAAACAGTTCACGTACGTGTCACAGGCATCTACTACGATTCTACTGAATAACAACCTGTGACGAGAAACCAGCTAATGATATGAGCAGCTATGACCCATATGTTAGATATTATACTAATTCCTTGACGAACGACATTCGTGATTATTGATTTCAAGTTGTGATGGCAGCAAAATACACGGTTACTTATATTATATTAGTCAGGGACGATCAGCACTTCCGTGGCCAGCAATGATTTATCATCCCTTGCAACGATGATTTTAGGACCAATTCGTGTTACGAAATTCAGTTCGGAATGTGACATTCGAATCGATGAACATAACATTCATATTATTACATGGATTGGCTTCTCTGACAATTATTTCTTTTTTATGGAATCAACACCGATCTCTGTGACCCGATAGAGGAATGAAATTTACCAATTTTCAGTAAAATCAATCGACAACATCATTTTTGTTGCCGTGCATAATGAAATCCGACAGATTTTTTTGAATTTTGGTAACGTATTTTTAGCATTTGGAGTCCTATTATATATGATAAGCGAGCTTAATTGCATAAAACGTGATTTTTTCCCCTAAAAACAAATAAAAATTTAGCTCAGCAAAAAAAATGAATTTTAGACCAATTAACTTCATTTCCAACCCAAGCTCAATGTTCAATTATTCAAATTTAGCTTCAAAATTAAATAATTCATTTATAATCAAATTAGTTTATTATATAACAAATAAATTTTATAGATTAAAGTAAAGATAAATTACTTATTGTAATGTGTCGCATGTTTGACTAAGCTTAAAAGTAATTAATTTTTGTAACGTACTTTTTCATGTATTACCTATTTATACTTGTGAGATAAAAATTTATTTATTTCGACCATGAAATGAATGTTATCATCAAAATAAATAATATACTCTATATTTACTTTTGTCAATTAAAAATATATTTGTTAGAATTTTGTCATAAGTGTTCAAAAATATATTTTGACCCACTTTGTCATTAACATCAAGAGTTTAACCTTTTAAATTAAATTTCGAGTGATAAAGAGCATCTAAGAAAAAAATTCAATTTTGAGCCCACCCTAACATGCCTTCATGGCTCCGCCATTGACTGGTCATTGGATGAGCTGGTGCTTCATGATTTACGCAGTGTTACTTAGTTAGTTTGCAAACAAACTGGTTGGAAAATCCATTATGTAGGCCATTCCCTCCTAAGAAATTATATCCCCAGCCCCAGATTAATTAGGACATTATGAGCATGTGAATAAGTAATTGGACATAGAACGTTGATGGTATTTGCCGAAGGAGAAGAAACAGACAAGATTAGATCTGCTGTATTGTTAAGCCCGATAGCCTACTTAAGCCATATCACCACTCCACTTGGAGTTATTGGAGCTAAAGCCTTCCCTGACGAAGTAAGCACTTGTTTCTTTTCTTTTTCTCTTTTTTCCATTTTGGCTTTTTGGATCTCTAATCAGTAAATTTTTTTTCTCCAGATTGAAATAGCATTTGGTCTAGCAGAACTCAATCCACAAGGGTAATAAAATCTTAGATTGGATTATTATACGTATCCGGCTTGGACTAACTGATTTTACGCGTGAATTATTTTCATCTTGTTGGTAAAACTTTAAAGGGAGGCAGTGTAAGACGTCCTCAAATCCCTGTGCGCCACTCCTGGAATGAACTGTTTTGACTTGCTATCTTCATTTTAGGCATATGTAATATGTTTATCCATACTGCAGAATGACCAAATCTCGGCTCTGCATATATTAATAGACTTCCCACAGTTTAATTACAGGAAAGAACTATTGTCTAAACGCATCCTATGACTTGTCTGTCTTGAAGTATGAAGTTCAATCAACTGCAGCTAAGAACCTGGTTCATCTGTCTCAATGTAAGTTCATTTATTCGCTGTAATAGTGAACATGATCTTGTATTATAATTGACAAGACTTGAATAAAATGCAGCCATCCGTGGTGGGATCCTGTCAAAGTACGATTATGGAAGTGACAATTCCAACATGGAGCATTATGGTGAATCGAATCCACCGGTATATGATTTGAGAAAAAATCCTCATGATTTTCCCCTGTTTTTGAGTCAGGGAAACCAAGATGCTCTCTCTGATACCACAGATGTGGCGATTTTGCTAGATTCATGTCTTAACCTGCACGACATAGACAAGCTGCATGTGCTTGTGCAGTATGTCGAGGATTATGCTTATCTTGATTTCATTATGGGGGTGATATAGTTTACAATCAGATTCTAGCTTTTTTCAAGAACTTGCACTAAAGATTAATTTTGATTGGAGTTTTGCAAGTTTGCTTCTTGTCAAATGAGAACTAAGCATTCCCATATTTATACGCGAAATGTGTAATAATTTGATAGATAAATCGAAAACAACAGTATTTAGAATTTTAGTTATGTTAGTTAAGGAGTAAATTTAATGAATGCTCATCAAACTTTATCATATATTACTACTTGCTCATCGAACTTTACTTCATTACCCGTTGCTCACTGATCTATCCAATAACTTACCCGTCCATCACCCATATCATCTCCATTACATTCACTTAATGGAATGTGCCACATGGCGGATGGAAATCTGACGTGGCATATAACGGAAAGCCATCTGGGCCAAAATTGAGGGGAAAAAACACGTCAATTGATACCATGCTTCTGTAGTCCCAAAACAGAAGTCAAAAAGGAACTTAAATTACCCCCGAATCCATGAAGAACCCTACAAATCGCCTAGTCCCAAAAAGGAAGCCATAAAGAAACTCGAATCACCCCCGAATCCTGTTACAGAAGGAATGGCTGGGGAAAGAGAAGGAGTAGAACAATGAGAAAAGTGAAGAAGAAATCAGGGGAGGAGGAAGAAGAAGCTCCAATTTACGAGCTGAAATCTTGAATTTCAATTTTCAGTGTTGATATTCGAATTAAAATATGCGAGGAGCACTGTACTAATATTATATGTAGTCAGCCCAAAAGGATATCTGCAATATTTGTATCAGAGAGAATTTTCGTTGAGAGAGGGGAGAAATTGGGGGATACTTTGAATCTTGATTCCACAACACACTCAATAGTGTAGTGAATTATATATATTCCCTGAATCTTGATTTCACTCTGAATCTTGAGAGAAGGCTGAATGGATTTTCTATATTTTCTATATCTACAGCTGCAACATGAGGGGAAGACAGAGAAATTGGGGGGAACTCTGAATTTGGTAGAACTTGATACATATGAACGTAAATGAGGGTTCCTCACTTCCCGTTGTGCTTAGCGAAAGTGAATTCTTTTTTAGAGAAAAACGTGTTTTACATGTTCAACAGAGAAATGAAATTGCCATTTTCTTTTTTCTTTTTTTTTTGGTTTTTGGCCCAGTTGGTGTTCCGTTATGTGCCACGTCGGATTCCGTCTGCTGCGTGGCACTTTCCGTTAAGTGAATGTGAGGAGATGAGATGGATGATAGACGGGTAGGGTATTGGATAGATAGGTGAGCAATGGGTAATCAAGTTAAATTGGGTAAGCAATTAGTAATATGAAGTAAAGTTCGGTGAGCATTCATTAAATTTACTCGTTAGTTAAGTGATCAAATCGTTTTCGCGTTTTATAAATGAATAATCTCGATAAGAACCATAAGTATTATTCGGTCGGTTGGCATCGTTTTTATTTAAATCATTGTGTTTGCTAAACGGAAACAGATTGGAAATTAATACTTTTGACCAGGTAGCAACTTCATGTTAACCTAAGTTTGTTATCGTATTAAACGAGATCTCACTTGAATTGCTCGACTTTATTCAGCCCTTGTTTGAGCCCCTTTTTTTGGGAAGAATGAATTTTTGAATAGTGTATTGATGAGAAATGTGTGGTTAAAAAATAAGGAAAAATTCTGGATTTACGTGTAATATTATTTTATTCAAAAATGTATGGTTGAAATGATGTCAAAATACCGTTGAAAAATGTATTTTTCCAAAAGAATAGGGCTCAGACAAGGGCTCATATTCGCGCCTTTATCATATTTGTTGGTATTGTTTTGAGGCGACTCAGGCGATAGAAAATGTGCATAACTTTTTATAAGAAATTTGAATTGCAAATCATATATTGTGTTCGACTCTAACTTGGTAAACTTTCGATTGACATTTCATTTTCTTAGTCAACGCCCTTGCACTCTGCTCGTTTGGCCCCATTTCGTGGTAATGAAAATAGATGGAATAGTATTATTTTGAAAAATAGGTGGTTGAAAAAGAAGGAAAAGTTTTCGATTTACTTGTAATATTATTTTATAGAAAATTGTTTGGTTGAAAATAGAAGATAAAAAGATGAAATGTAATGGAATGAAAATTAATAGGGGCCAAACGGGGTACTTTAAGACATGTATTTTCTTCTAATTCTTGATCTTATCTTCATCAACATGCCTCAAGATTGAACAGCTCATGTGTTAATCTTTTATTTTTCTTCTATTGGAATCTGGGTCATATGTTCTCATTCAAAGGTGCTTTTGTAACTCAATTATGTTAAGCAAGAGTTCCAGATTTTCACGCGTTTTTACATACTCGCATCTTTTATAGAAATATTGTAGAGTTGAATGTCAAAATTGGTTTAATTTTACGAATGAGTTTACTGAATATATTAGGAATATTAATAATCAAATTTATTCAACTATTGTCAACTACACTAGTTGAGGTTGAAATGGAAAATGTGGTGAATCCCACGTTCTCATATTTTCGTCAATTTGAATTTCTCTAAAACTTATCGAATTCATTTTATTTTGCTTATTTAAAAATAACACGATTATTGAATCCAGGTATTTTTTTTTTATTTAAGATAGTATTAGAAGAAAATTAACGATAAATATATAAGCAATCGTCATGAAAATTACATTTTACCGACAGTAATAATTATTCAAGGTATCGGGATTTTGACTCAAACTTAGGTTCAAATTGCTAAAGTGTCGTATTGAATCCAGGTATTTTTTTTTTTTATTTAAGATAGTATTAGAAGAAAATTAACGATAAATATATAAGCAATCGTCATGAAAATTACATTTTACCGACAGTAACAATTATTCAAGGTATCGGGATTTTGACTCAAACTTAGGTCCAATAAATATATAAGCAATCGTCATGAAAATTACATTTTACGGACAGTAACAATTATTCAAGGTATCGGGATTTTGACTCAAACTTAGGTTCAAATTGCTAAAGTGTCGTATTGAATCCAGGTATTTTTTTTTTTATTTAAGATAGTATTAGAAGAAAATTAACGGTAAATATATAAGCAATCGTCATGAAAATTACATTTTACCGACAGTAACAATTATTCATGGTATCGGAATTTTGACTAAGACTTAGGTTCAAATTGCTAAAGCGTCGTATTGTGCTGCCCCTTCACTTCTAACTGCAATCCTAGACGTCTTTTGGATTTAGCTAAGGTCAGATGTTTGTAGAGTCTATGTAACGGAATTCCAATTCCAATCAGTTAAGCATATCTGTGTACACGTGGAAAAAAAAAATCCTTTGCAATTAAAAATATGGAGAGATATTCCTAGCTGGACAATAGCCTTTTCCTTTGAGCTAGAAAAAGGCCAGAAAAAAAGCAGTCCTTTGCCCATATTTCTTCCTTCACTTTCTCGTTCTAGTTCACACTCAACTATCAGTTTTCCCACTCCAAATATATACCCACCACTTGAACAATTTCATGGCATGAACAAGCAAAGAGAAATGGCTCCAAATAGTTTCTTGAATTTGGCGGTCTCCAGCTTCTGTTTGCAACTGCTTGCATTAGTCCTTCCTTATCAAGCATTTGGCTCTAGTCGCAGTCAGATTAATGAGTTTAACGCGCCACCGCCAGGTTTATGTGCGAGCGCAGTCATCATACACGGTTACAAGTGCCAAGAATTTGATGTAAGAGCGGCTGTCAAGTTATTCATTTAATATGTATTACTTATTTGAGTAAAGGATGTTCGATGTTTCAGGTGAAAACTGATGATGGGTACATATTAAGCTTGCAAAGGATCCCGGAAGGCCGCACAGGTGGTGGCGGGGGCGGGCTGAACAAACCACCAGTTTTGCTGCAACACGGAGTTCTTGTGGTAAGCATTTCTTTTGTAATTGTATACGCATAGCGTACCAGTCGCAGATTTCGTGTGAAACTTACATTAAAGACAGATGAATTCAGAGTCCGCGAATTTGCATCTTTGATTAAAGTGTCCCAATATCATAATTTTAGTGGTAGACAGAATTATTAATTGCTTGCTTCACTTTTAAGGAAAAAAGTGAGTTCTCATGACTTTTTAAATTTTCCCTGAATTGATTTGTCAAAAGAGAATTTCCGTTTAATATTCCAGTTTAACAAAGCTTTTAGGAGTAGTTGGTGATCTCCAATTTTTACTCATTTATAACAACGTTCAAGAATTGGCACTGGCACCTTCAATTGGTTGAATTAAATACAGATAAATTGTAAATATTTCTATTTAAAGTAAAGAGGTTGGTGTCCTGATCGCACAATTTCCAAGGTATCAGACATGATGCGTTTTTCAAGGCATATGGAATGGAAATCAATTCTGATGATGCGTGCGAATTGCCACGCTTGGTTTGTGCAGAGTATTGCGTGCGCGTAATGCCATCCAATGACAGAGTAACGGACTCGGTTTTGGGTTGGCTAACTGGCATTTTTCTCTAATGTGAAAACAGAGTTTTTCAAAGCTCCAAGATGCAAGTTTCATGCTTATATATACTCCATTTGTTCCATTTATATTTATATTGACTTATTTTATTTTTCTCGAAGATTAAAGAAATCGTATTTAGCCCTTGTTTGAGCCTCATTCTGAGGCAAAAAATGAATTTTTGAATAGTGTATTGATGGGAAATGTGTGGTTAACAAATAAGGAAAGATTTTGAATTTACATGTAGTATTATTTTATTGAAGAATGTGTTGTTGAAATGATATCAAAACACTGTTTAAGATTATATTTTTTTTTTCAAAACAATGGGGCTCAAACAAAGGCTTAATGTTATTGAAAAAACAAATTTTGTCAAAAGCTTTTCTAGTTTATCCTGATTTATATTTATACAATTTCAAGATAAGTGAAAAAAATTGATTATAATTAGGCAAATTAAATAAGTGTATATTAGTAAACAAACAAAACAAAACAAAACATTCTCAACAAATCAAAAAATGATTATATAATTGGGGCAAGAAAATAAGGAAAATCAGCTTATA